CCAATTCCTGAACATAGGCCCCGCGCTGCACTCACCCGCCGGGCCCTTCTCACGCGAGCGAGGGCGGCGGGCTGCTCGAGTCCATTCAGCAGAGAGAGAGAGGGAGAGGTTTGGGTGAGGCAAGAGGGACGCTCTGGGGTAGGGCAGGGTTGGGGCGAGAAGCGGGGACGGAGGCTGTTGTACGTGTGGCTTCTTGGTTGTTTGTGTGCGTAGATGTGTGTGTGGTGTGTGTGTGTGTGGGAGGGGGGGGGGTGCGTGTGGGTGTGTCTGTGTGTGTATGTGTAGGTGTAGGTGTGTTTGTAGGTATAGGTGTGTGTGTGTGTAGGTGTAGGTGTGTGCGTGTGTGCGTGTGTATGTGTGTACATATATTTGCATGTCGGCGTTATCTTGTGACCAAAATGTTACTTTGGCAAAAGTCGATATCTATCTATCGTCTAAATTCTATTGTGCAGATGAAGAGACACACTCCGAATGTAATATTTATATTAGTATATCAACTATTACTACTAATGCTATCACCGCCATTAAGATATGAATGCCTTACATATTGTTTTCATTGGATAATCATCATCAGTATCACTATCACTATGGTACAGTCTATCTAGGTCATTTATAACATTTCTTTAACGAGAAGAAAGGTCACACCATATAATTTGGTCATGTTATGAGATAAGGTCACGTATCTTATAATATTATTGTATCTTTATTAGCCTTGAACTATATTAACGGTCGGGACGTCGAGCAGACTATATTTAGGAATCAAATAAGCACTGAGTTACAACCGAGGCAAAAACTGTATTGTAAAGATGAGAAAAAGTAATTTAGTTTCGTTGGTCCTCCATCGAAGCGGCGCACTGCGTTTTCTTTAATGCTCTCTTTCGCGGGGTCTACTTGGGGCAGCGTTGAAGTCTCTGGTTTTTACACTGTCTGTTGATCTGTCAGTCTGTTTGTCTGTCCGTCTGCGTACCCGTGTCAGAATTCTCCTTCCTCCTTCTTCTCCTTCTGTCCCCAGTCTCTTCTCTCTCTCTCTCTCTCTCTCTCTCTCTCTCTCTCTCTCTCTCTCTCCTCTCTCTCTCTCTCTCTCTCTCTCTCTCTCTCTCTCTCTCTCTCTCTCTCAGTGCGGCAGGTACCATTGCAGCATTTATGAATTAGAAGCGAATGTTGAAATAATGTTGTTTCAGATAGCACAATCCCTCGCCCAGCGCAAGAAATCAAAGTTTCAACACAGCCCAGATACAGACAGGATTGCCCACAACATTGCAAAGTCATTGCATCAGCGTCCAAGATAAAAACATGGATAATGTGATTCTGAAAAAAAAAAAGTATATGTAGACGAAGGACTAAGACAAAAGAAACTATCGATTGTTAAAGAAACAATAATAATATTATTTCTAAAAACATAGAATAAAGTATTTTTTTCCTTTTTTTTCTCTCATGTCAACACGACAGGAATCCGGTTATGCAAGTGCGACGTTGCCACATGTCCTTTAACCGCCGCGGCAAAGGGGCTGATCCATTTCGCTTGTCATCTGCGCCTTAACGAGTGACCCAAATCGAAGTCACTGACCTGACATTCAGCGCGTTTTCCAGTTTGACATCACCGCCGGACGTTGGGGTTTGACGTGCGAGGGGAGGAGGGGAGGGGCGGAGGAAATGGGAGAGGGAAATGTGGCAGATGGGAAGAGGTAAGTGTGATGGAGGGGTAAAAAGAGGGACAGGGAGGGTGAGGGTAAAGGGAGAGGAGGAAATGGAGAGGGGAAGTGGCAGATGGAAGAGGTAAGTGTGATGGAGGGGTAAAAAGAGGGACAGGGAGGATAAGGGTAAAGAGAGAGGGAAATGTGCCAGAAGGGAAGAGGTAAGGGTGATGAAGGGGTAAAAAGAGGGACAGGGAGGATAAGGGTAAAGAGAGAGGGAAATGTACCAGAAGAGAAGAGGTAAGGGTGATGAAGAAAGAAGGGTGATGGATATGTAGAAGGAGGGATAGGGAGGGTGAGAGTAAAGGGAGAGGGAGGAAATGGGAGAGGGAAATGTGGCTAAGGGAATAGGTAAAGGTGATGGAGGGGTAAAAGGAGGGTGAGGATAAAGGTAGAGGAGGGTAAAGAGGGAGGGAGAGAGATGGGAGAGGGAAATGTGGCAGATCGAAAGAGGTAAGGGTGATGAAATGGTAAAAGGAGGAATGTGAGGGTGAATGGGAGAAGCAAGAGACGGGAGATAGGATGGAAGAGGAGAGAATAGAATGAATGGGGAAAGTGGAAGTAAAAAAGAGGAGAGTAGTGGATTCGGAATGGAGGAAGTGGAAGTGGGGAAGGAAGATAGAGGGAGAAACGAGAAAGAAAAAAAAAAAAAAAAAGAGGAGGGGGGAGTGAAAAAAAAAACAGCCAGAATGAGGGGAAATGGAGAGAGAAGACAAACCGAAACGAGAGAATTGGGGGGGGGAGGAAAAGGAGGAAAAAAAAGGGAAAAAGGAAATGGAAAGAAGGAAATGAAAAGGTGAAAAATG